AAATTGAACAAGATCAACATTAAAGAATACATTATGGCAATTTTTTAAAAATTAAACAAATATCATATTAAAAATTCATAGGTAAAAGCATTATTGATCATACTTTTAAAAGTTACAAGATAGCTCAGTGGTTTAGGTCTCTGCCTGCAGAGTGAGAAGTTGGGAGTTTGATTCTCCACGGTGCCCCCTTGACAGGGGCTAGACCTATGATTCATAGGGTTCCTTCCAGCATTGCGGTTATAAGATTATTTTAAGACATACACCATAGTTAGTGAGCCAGTCATTAAAACAAAGCTGGCCTGAAAGGAAGGTCTTTGCCTGCTTTTGGAAGAAAAGCACAGATGGGAGGCCAGGGAGATGGCCTTAACATTGTCTACATGACTCAGCAGCAGATAACAGAGATACGAAAGAGGACTATTTCCTAGCTGTACTGCTCCCATAATGGAACTTGGTGCACATTCTGAATGGAATGTTTATATCGGCATTTGAAGTTTTTTTTTTTTAGCAAGTGAGTTAGAACAACAGAGAGAGAGAGAGAGAGAGAAAATTTGACATAAGAATAAATAACAACCCCAGTGGGTTTGTCTTTTCTGTTGTTTTGGTTATGTCAGCAGGAATGTGGAATTCCTGATCATACAAAGCAGCCTTTCAAGAACACACACAAACACACACACAAAACAGAACTAATTACAACCGAGTCATCTTTCAATAAATATGCAAATTAAAAATCAAAACAAAGGAATTCTATTTATCACATCATAAAGTTGCAAATTGCGGCTGAGATTCCCTCCGATCCCACGAGATGGAATTTATGGGATGTTTCGCCTTCAGTGCTGGGGCCAATCAAGCGCGATGGTTGCACATTGAATGAATGGAGTTCTGCTTTTGCTGATGGCCCACTTTGGATGGTAACCCATCTCTCCCCCGATAACATATCATCATGCAGTGCATAGTTAAACGGAGGAATTCATAGCCACAGGATGTTATGATGATGGCTGTCAGCTTGGGAGCTTCAAGAGCAGTTTGAATGGATTCATGGAGCCTAAGGGTGTTGGTAGCTACTAGCCAGGGTGGCTGTGTACACCTCTAGCATCAGAAATGGTATGCTTCTTATTAAACATTTCCAGGGCACAGGAAATTAAAGGACATGCTGTAGGCAACTTGTTAGCCACTAGTGAGCTATGACAGTGAACTAGAAAGACCATTAGTCTGATCTAGCAAGTCTTTCCTTATCTCTTTAATTATCAGAGACCAGGGCTCAGAAGATTACAATTTAAAGATTACAATTTAAAAGAAACTAATTACTTGTTACTTATTACTTCCCAGCAGCCATGTTGTCATTATTATTATAGTTGGTGATTGCTGCATTTCACATTATTAGCATGCTATGTGGCAAGGAAAACACAAGAAATATGCTCTGAGCCCCTCTAGTGGTCAGTTTTGATATTACACATAGAATATATATACATGTACTGTAGTTTTAAAAGTTGTAGCCATGTTAGTCTGTGGAAGCATTCCAACAAGAAACATAAAACAAAAGCAAAAACAAGATGTTGAGGCACCCTAAAGACTAACTGCTATATTGTAATGTAACCATTCATGGAACACCGTCCATTTGTCAGACACAAGAATCAGAATAAAGAAATTACATGGAAATGCATTCATGCAAGTCTCTAAGATATAGCGACAGTGGTGTTTGATTGCATTTCTCACCTAGTAATGATTTAAGACCCCTCTTTGGTATTCAGTTCTTTTGAAGCTCGGTTCTGTAAACAGCAACAACGATTAAAGGAAACAACAGCATAAACAACATATGGTAATTTTGAGAATGACAGACTTTACCTTTGAGCCTTGTTCTGAGGCGGGTTTGGTTAATTGAGAAAGAAAATAACAATAGTTAACATAATTATCACATTTGATAATGGCTTAAGAAATTTTGGCTAATATTTAATCTGTTGAGACGGATGTCAAGCATGTGTATATACTATCGCAGCTGTTTCCCTTTGGATTCTTGTTTTTCAGTTTGTTTTCTCCACAATAATAACTTTCACATCTTGTAAAGAGTGTCCTGGTAGACTGAAATGATTTGAAACAAGTTTCTGTGCACTTGTAAAGAGTGTCCTGGTAGACTGAAATTATTTGAAACAAGTTTCTGTGCTTTGCAATTTCTGATGTCCAATTTATGCCAATCCTTTTGCCTAGAGATTGATCAGTTTTTTCCTATGAAGAGTGGAGAAGTGCATTTTTGGCAAAAGATGGCATAGATCACATTAGCAGAGGAACAAGTAAAAGGAGTAGGTTTTGGGTACAACTGTTAAGAAAGCATTGTTCTAGGTCACCATATTGCATATTGTGGAGTCATGCAACTACCCGTGGTAGTTTCATTGATCTGGAGGTACGTATTATTGTTAAAGGTGAAATAGTTGTGCGTGAGGACAAAGGTACAGAGGCTGGTGACAATATGTGTTCCATCTTTATTTTGGATGGTGTTCTTGACAGTCTGTAGTCTATCTCTGTGTGAGATGTAGGTGCAGAGAGTTTCTACATCCATAGTTACTAGGTTGGTCTTGTCAAAGAGATTGTGGTATCACTCCACTCTACACTAACATCCCACACAGAAATGGACTACAGGCTGTCTGGAATACAATTCAACCTCTTGGTATCAAAGCATGACTCGAATGAGCTATTAATCAGTCTTGGTCAAGAAGAACTATTCATCAATCTGAGTCAATTAGAGAAGCCATCTGCAAAGTGAGTTTTAAAAGAAAGATGTATATCTAACGCAAGTTGGTACATTTGAACAGGATTGAGATAGTACATTAATGCTCAGATATAATTATGATTCACATCTTCATTAACATGGCTAAGTTTTCTTAGAGGAAAATGTCCAGGCAACAGCTGATACCCAAATAGACAGCCATTCTAGAGTGAATTCACATAATTCCGTACACCTTGGAGTGTTGCATCTTGGAAAATGATCAGTTTGTTATACCCTCATATTGATTTTCCACAATTCATTGTGTAAGGCAAGAAACTCTGAATCAAGTTCTTCTTTGTAAGAAGTAATGGGAAGTTTGCAAAGGAAATGCTGGCTTCAGCATAACTATGGTTAAAGTTTGCACAAATTTTATGAAGTCACTCATTCCCGATGCTGTGCATTGGAGCATGATGAATGCTGGACATTTGCACATTTCAGCATGCTGTAAATAGCTTTGAAGACCATACGGGAAAAATTATTCCTTGTGGCTAAAGATCACAACAAGCTCAACAACTGTTTAAAGTGGTAAGATTACGGGTCGCGAAACCAATTCTACGCATGTTTATTTGGAAATACAGTACTTCCTGCCATCTCCATTAGGACGTTGTTCAAAGTAAGAAAGTATCAGACTGCAGCTAAACCGTCTTCACTTAAAATTATTGACAACTAGAACTGATTATCTCCCTGCAAAGTGAAGTATGAAGATGGAGAAATAAAATTCTCCTGGTATTTTGAAGAATGTAACTTAAAATGCTATGTTTAAAGTTAAAAACAAAACGTTCAGCTATCTCTTTTTATATTATATCCTTCTCTTATTCTTAATTTTAAACTTGTGCTTAGAATAAATTAGGGTGCCTGTCGGAAATAACTGTAATATCTCATCTTGCTTTTATCTCTACTATAAACATGTAACACTTCATAGATATTGCAGGTTAAGGTTTCAATGGAAGGATGGTTTTATCTCTATAATATCACATAGGAATCAAAAGATTGATTTCTGGCCCAAGTCAGTTTCACGTTTAGGTCCATTACATTCCATGCCCTCATCAATTTTGTTACAAAGTGAAAGAGGTGCTTTCTCTCTGTGCTTTGCTGCCTACAACCAGCCTCCCTGAAGCATTGTGGGTACATTCGGCAGCCCCCCATGGGCAACAGTATACAAGCAGCCAATCCTTCACCTCCAGAACCATGGCCCTGTAAACTTGCTGAGGAGCAAAATGACGAAACCGTCGTTTTTATAACCACAAATGACGATATCTTTATTTCATATACATCCATCATGTTAAATTGTACAATGCTCTGATGCAAAGAAAGAAAGAAAGAAAAGCTGCCTACGGCCATATTTGTATGTCTGAGGATAAACATTTATAGGAGGCCAGTTGTATGGACTATACATTTCCCTTGATGTCTACTATAACTCTCTCTCTCTCTTTGTCTGTCTCTCCCTCTCCCCCCCCGCTCTCCCCATCTCCCTCTCCCTCTCTCCCTCTTCCTCTCTCCCTCTCTTCCTCCCTCTCTTCCTCTCCTTCCTCTCCCTCTCTCTCCCTCTCTCCATCTCCCTCTTCTTCCTCTCCCTCTCCCTCTCTACCTCTTCCTCTCTCCCTCTTTCCTCACTCTCTTTCCCTCTCTCCAGTTTCACGTTTAGGTCCATTACATTCCATGCCCTCATCAATTTTGTTACAAAGTGAAGGAGGTGCTTTCTCTCTGTGCTTTGCTGCCTACAACCAGCCTCCCTGAAGCATTGTGGGTACATTCGGCAGCCCCCCATGGGCAACAGTATACAAGCAGCCAATCCTTCACCTCCAGAACCATGGCCCTGTAAACTTGCTGAGGAGCAAAATGACGAAACCGTCGTTTTTATAACCACAAATGACGATATCTTTATTTCATATACATCCATCATGTTAAATTGTACAATGCTCTGATGCAAAGAAAGAAAGAAAGAAAAGCTGCCTACGGCCATATTTGTATGTCTGAGGATAAACATTTATAGGAGGCCAGTTGTATGGACTATACATTTCCCTTGATGTCTACTATAACTCTCTCTCTCTCTTTGTCTGTCTCTCCCTCTCCCCCCCCGCTCTCCCCATCTCCCTCTCCCTCTCTCCCTCTTCCTCTCTCCCTCTCTTCCTCCCTCTCTTCCTCTCCTTCCTCTCCCTCTCCCTCTCTCCCTCTTCTTCCTCTCCCTTTCTCCCTCTCCTTCCTCTCCCTCTCCCTTTTTGGGTGTGCGATACTCATGCAGAACCAACAGCAACTGCAGTGTGGAGACAGATGACGAGCTTCCCTTTGGGGAAGAAGTGGATTATAACACCGACAGCTGCTCTGACATAGAAGGAGATTTCTCGGATCTGGACAAAGAAATCCGAGAAGATCCCCCCAGGGCCGAAGGCGGAAAAGAAGACGTGGACACCAACGTTGGGCAGATATGTGGCCCGCAGCCTCGCAGGGCTCTCTTGCATCACCCGCCCATGAGCAGCTGGTAGCAAAGTGTCTCTCATCCCAGTCAATGCCATCCAGGGGCTTTCAATGGATCGGAAAACAGGACCGAGCTGTCTGGAATAACCAGACAGGTCACCACTTGCAACGTGCTTCTTTGCTGGTGACAGTTCTTGTGTCAGGCATCTCGTCTCAGTTGTATTTCCAAAATAGACTGTGTGTTTGTGTGTATATTGTTAGTTAAGACTCTGTACAAAAAGGGGAATATTCCTCACTGTGTTTAAAATGATGTGCAGTTTGCTTTTAGAAATTCGCCCCCCTTCATTGCAGTGAAATAACAGCGAAAGGGGAACAATTTTGCAGAATTAATCCAGGAACCCTTCATTAATTTCTCAAGTGTGGGGCTCACCATAAACAGGAGAAGTTACCAAAGGTTGGTTGGTTGCTCTTTTGACTATTTATGAAAGCAGAACTGCAATGGCTGCCATTTTGCATCATGCACAATGGGTGAACTCTAGTGTTGTTCCAGAGCTTTGAATTGGGGAATGGTGGTCACAAAGCACGCACAAAAATTGGTAGGACATGTTTCTAGAAAACCCTGTGAAGGATCCTTGTTTTGGAGAGAAGGTGAAAAGGGATGGAGGATAATCGCAAGAAGTTTCTGAGATAGCTGCTTCCCCAGGGCTAAATGATGCATGACAGGTAGCCCATCGTTACAAGATGGAAAGGGTCTCCAGAGGTTCCTGGACTACAATTCCAAGAAACCATGGCCAGCACAGCTTGTGGTGAAGGCTTCTGGGAGTTGTAGTCCAAGAACTTCTAGGGACCCAAGGTTGGGAACCACTGCTGTAAGGAAAGTGCACATGAACTGGATTTTTTTTTCTTTTTGGGTGGGATTCCAGCTTACACAGAACTCTTCACATCAGACTCATCACAGTGAACGAATTCAAGGCAACAAAACAAAGACAGAGGCAACTGGGGCTTGAGCAAACCTTTGCTTGAGCTCATGGAGAAGAGTCTCCCAAAGAATGCCTGACATGGGCTTGAGAGCTCTCCTTCTTCCCTTCATTGAGGAAAACCTCAACCTCAACACGTTGGCTGCCAAGCATTCCTCAGTCTGCGTGCTGACACATTAGAATTCACCAAGGAGGATTCCTCCAGGGTTAGTAGTAAATGGGATTGACTTTTGCCCCCCCCCATTTTCTGTGTCATGAAAATATTTTAAATGCTATAAAGGAATAATAAAGAGACAGGGAGAAATTTGTGACAGTACAAGAGTACCACAGGCAATGGTGGTGGTGCTCTTGGCCTTTGTAATGCTTCCCAGGTCAAAGGAAAAGCTCTGGGCCCTGTTCGGTGTATAGAACAGGATGTAAAAATGTCATTTATTATATTATCTTTACTGTCAGACAGCTTCTGAGTAGCAAAGAAATGGGACAGATGTTAAGCAGCAGTGAGGTCTATCCATTACGAAGCAGCTGTTCCCTGAAGTCTGGCCATATTTATGCTCAGAACTGCAAAATTGCTGAAGAGTAAAGGATTAAAAAAATGACTGCCTTGAAAGCAGGGCTAATATGAATGTATTTACTTTTTTCTTTTTAATTCTCAGTAGGGTGTGTGTGTGTTTTCAGCAGGGGTGAAAAATGCCTTTCTTTTAAAACGGCTCTTCAGCTTTGCCTAAGAATGAATTTTTCCATTCCGCAAATTTCTCTCTGGCTTGACTCCTGTAGCTTGCAGTGATGTCACCATGTAACACACATCTGATTGGCTGCGTATTTACAGTGGCATGCCCCTAGTCACACCATGAGTCCTGATGGGTAGGAATCGCACACATGACCAGTTTGGAGGGGGGGAGACCCTGTGGTAAGGTGGAAACTAAGCAGTTTGGGGTGGCAATTCATTTTTAAAGCAGTTTTTCTTTTAAAAACAGACCTGTCTGTTTGTGTGTGAAAAGAGAGGTGTGTTTGGCACACCGCCAGACAAAAGAGGTCTAGATAAATCTCATGAAACGTAGTCAAAATTGAACTCTTCCCTTGTGCGAGAACAGGCGTTGAGTCTGAACACTGGTCTGGCTAGCCTTGTACTGCTATTTATTAGGAAAAAAATATTTATTACTTATTGTTTTTCAGAAGTAACTCATTAGCAGCACTCATTACTCTTGGTCTAAACAGTGACACATTAGGGAAATGTTGCCAACACGATGCTTTCATGTATTATTTTCTTTCTTTTTTTTCAATTTGCATTTACTTTTTAAACATTAAAAAACTCCACAAATTATTTTAAAAGGTAGAGCTCAGATGCATCGCATGGGCAAAGCTCTCCCAAACCCGTCACTCCAAAGCAACCATTTGAGGAGTAATTAACAGAACTAGATGAACATTATATTTGTGTTACTTTTTAGAGCAGGATCGGTAGCTACTCAAAAAGTAGCATATGTTCCAACCTGATTTCCTTGCAACATATTACTTGGAAGGTCTGGTGGAGAATGGCATGAAGTGGCACCCATGTCTGGCATATCCGAACTCTCCTTTAAGTACGGCTCCATCCTTCGACTTGGACGTTGGCTCTCCTTTGGTCGTCTAGCCTCTAGAGGTCAGGAGAGGGCCTCAGTTCCTCTTCCTGCCGGGGTGCTCCTGCAATTAACATTCTCCCCGAGTCATGGTAATTAAGCAGAGCAAGGCTCTGCAAAGAGGAGCGGAAATGCACTGACTTTAATAACACAGAGTGTTAAACAATTTGAGATTAACTCCCGGCTTGTTCATCCGTTTGCATTTGTAAGGCTGGTCAGGTATTTCCCTGTGGAATCGGAATTCCCCATAACCACCCCTTGGCACCACCGCTATGTCCCTGCCCACCAGAAGAAGCTCGCCTGCCTTTTGCCATTAGGGGAAAACATGTTTTCAAAACTGTTGCAGCTTTGTGGTCATAGTACTGGGAGGAATGGCAACGTAGGCTGTGCCTATCTTGGTACAGGTTTCAAGGTTTCACAATTGAGACTTGTTCCACGTGGGGACATGGAACGGGACAAACATATAGCTTAGGGTTAGGAGATCCATGGCTCTCCTAATTTCACTGCCTCCCTATAAGGACATAGGAGGTGCCCTTCAAAACCAAGTTGTAAGGAGGCCTGCATAGGTCCACAAATCAGCTGGGATCAGGTCGGTTCAGAGGAGTAAGATGGTGGTCACCAACCTGTTGAGATCTCCAGTGAGAGCAACAGATCTCTCCCTTAGTAGTCCAAGCAGCAGGGGGAGGAAATGAAGGTGGTGGTGGTTTTATCTCTGAGTGGGACATCAAAGATGGGGAATATATGTGCTGCCAAGGTCAAAAGTAGCAGGAAAAGAGGAAGGCAAAATCCGAAGAAGGTTTGGGTTTGGAGGGATGGAGGTGGGGGTGGTTCGCCAAGTCACTTGGGCAGTTGGAAAATTTGCAGAAGGTATAGCAGAAAATATGCATGTGCCAGAAGCTGTAGGAAAAAGAGGTGAGGAAGAGGTAGAGAAGGTGTGAGAGTTTTTGGGGGAAGTGAGGGCCACTTCTTTGACTTTGGGCCCCTTTGCGACTGGCATGCAACCTCAGCAGAGTTATAACAAGCGCTGGGGCCAGTGGCAGGAAAAAGGTGACACATAGGGATGTAGAAGGTGAACTTTTTCTTATTTCTTTCATTTTGAGTTCTTCCGGGGTGCCTCTTTCATTGTTGTGTTTGTGTGTGCGTGTGCGCACACGTCCTTTTGTTTTACATGAAAGAGGAAGCCTATCTCATTTATTTTGGGTCTCCTTGTTCATGTTTTTGAACACTCAAAAGGTCTTAAGGAAAGCTCTTAAAAGAAATTTGTAGCCCACATCCTTAACTTGTAATCTGCCTAGAGAGTGCTCTAAGCGCTATGGGGCAGTATATAAGCAGCCCACTTTTTGCTTTGCTTAAAAGGAATTTCAAAAAAGCAGAGAGGCAAGGTAACAGAGAATCAGTCCGTTCCAAAAGAAAGCAACAGAAAGAAAAATCATATTAGTGCCAATGCAGGCACTAGTTTTTATTCTAACATTCACACCATACAGTGACACACTGACAAAAAGTCCAACCCCAGTCCCAAACACCCCCACAAAAGCAAATAAACAGTCCTAAAAAACCAAACAAAACATAAACCTTTAACAGAATACATACACAGTAAACTAAGCAAATAATTTGTAAAAAACAGCCAAACAGGAAAAGTACAATCCCAACATACACAGGAAAAATGGCAAAATGAACACACACAACACAAACACTCTTACCATAAACCGAGAAAAGCAAGCAAGTAAATAAAGCCCTCCCCAAATACAATTTAAACTCCCTCCTAGCAAAAACTACTAGAATATGGGGAGATTTTGCGAAGAGTGAATTAAAGTTTACACAAAAGAGGGAGCAGGAAGCCCCTCCCCCATCAACAATCTCCCAGCAAGTCACAAAAGAACTAGAAACAAGAAAAAAGGGAGATTCTTTCATGTTTTAGATCTTTCATGTAAACACAGAAGACCCGTCCATTATTCTACACTTCCGATTAGATATAGAAGAGTCATTTCATTTTAATTTCCCCTACACTTAAGATTTTTTTTTTTTAAAAAAATTTTCCTTCACAAATATAAAGATTGCTACAATATTTTGCACAAAATCTTTGTGTTTTTTTATTATTATTATTATTTACATAATGGCTTCGTCTGATGAAAAACAAAACTCAAAACCCTAGTTGGCAATCTTTCCAGTGCAGCATCTCGAAGCAAAAAAAGCAAAAAGTGTGTTACTTATATGCTACCCAATAGCACTTTAAGCATTCTCTCAGAGGATTACAATTTAATTGTACAGGGCACACATTGCCCCCCCCAAGCAAGCTGCTATATTATTTACATAATGGCTTCGTCTGATGAAAAACAAAACTCAAAACCCTAGTTGGCAATCTTTCCAGTGCAGCATCTCGAAGCAAAAAAAGCAAAAAGTGTGTTACTTATATGCTACCCAATAGCACTTTAAGCATTCTCTCAGAGGATTACAATTTAATTGTACAGGGCACACATTGCCCCCCCCAAGCAAGCTGCTATTTCAGTTTACTGACCTTGGAAAGATGGAAGGCTGAGTGAACCTCAAGTCAGCTACCTGGGATTGAACCCCAGGTCGTGAGCAGAGTTTTAGCTGCAGGACTGCGGTTTAACCACTGTGCCACAAGGTTCCTATGAGCAGGAGTGTGACAATTGCTCACAAAACTTCTACTCTGCTTTTCCAAGTCTCAGCATGTGAAAGCCACCTGCTGAGGCCTCCCTTTGCATTACTGAGATTTCCCAGCTTCCTGCAAAAACAAAACCTGTTCTCATTTTCCCTTTTATACTATTTTCTTTTTTTCTTCCTTTTCCTTTCCTCCACCCCACCTCCTTTGTTCTTTTCAAGAAACATCTTAATTATGTACGGGTCAATGTCCTTTCCCATCAATCCTCTTCAGAAAAGATATCTGCCTGTAAACATCATAAACTTCACAGCTTGGTATATATTCCAGAAACAACAACAACAGCAACACAAAGCAAAGTGAACTGCTTATACATCGCCCCATACTGCTTAAAACACTCTCTGGGTGGATTGCAGTTTAATTATGTATGATGCACATTGCTCCCCACTGCCTTCGGCAAGCTGGGTCCTCAAATTAGAAAGGATGGAAGCCTGAGTCAACCTTGAGCAAGCTATCTGAGCCTCTCAGGATCAAACTCAGGTTGTGAGCAGAGTCTTGACTGCAGTATTGCAGTTTAATCACTACCCCACGAGTCTCAACCTA